ATGGGCTGTCGTCTTTCTCTTCTTCTTCCAAGAAAGCTATGTAGTTTCTTCAGTTGTGCCTCCATTTATACCATTTATACCAGCTTAGCCAAAACGTAGACACAGCCCAAAGGCATGAATGAAATCTAAGGTGTGCCGTGTTTTGGCTAGACAGTTTGCTTTCCTAAATAAAATTAGGGCTATGTTACTACAAAAGAAAGAGTAACTTAATTGAGCATTTAGCGTTTTTGCTGCATTATGAAGGGTCTCAACCCAGATATATTGGTATACCCCTAGAAGCCCCGCCACCTGGGAGGCTGGGGCGAGATTCCAAGTGGGACTGAATAATTTAATGAAACCCTGGCTCTAAATTAAATTTAAAACGGAGTGGCGATGTAGCTCTGGGGTAAAGATCTTTCTTAGTGTTTATTTAAAGAAAAAGAAATGAAATGTCATACATGTGTGTTTGAATATATGCAGAGTAAGTTCAGCTTCACTTTTTACAGTTCTTCAATTCTTTCTATACTTATAAACCTAACAAGAAGCAAGAAGAGTGTGTTAGATCATTTTCTTGTTATTTTTCTGTTCCTCTAATAAATGTATCAATAAATATTTCAGCTATAGACGTTGGCATTGAAAGGAACCCTATTGAATTAAACATCGTAATCAACAGGTATTTTAACTCGTCCAGCTACACTTAACAAACCATGACCAGAGCTTTGCCAGTTTCTACCAATCCAGCATGGTTCTGTTTCTATGTCCCAACACTTTAATTAAAATGTCTTCCAGAAAATGTATGCTGAAACACATGCTTGTTTTGATATCAATAAATTTTCTTATTCCTTTAGACTCACCACTAAGAAAAACTAAGATCTAAATTACCAAAATGCTTTAAAAATGGATTCACGGTATATGACAAATATCACAGAAAATTAGCTCATTTTGATTTTCCCGCCTTTGTGTCTCTTCCCTGCAGGCTGTACATCGATGGTCCATTTGGAAGCCCATTTGAGGAGTCCCTCAGCTACGAGACCAGCCTCTGCGTGGCTGGAGGTATTGGGGTCACTCCGTTTGCATCAGTACTCAACACCTTGCTGTATGTCATTTTACAAAGCTTACTTTCAAATTTGGCAAGTAAAACATAAAGCAGTGAAGAATTGTAAAGAGAATTGTTTCAGAAAATATTAGAACTACAAAGAAAAGAAGACATTAATAGGATAAAGAATAAAGGATTGGTATCGTAAGCACATGTTCAGGCAAAGTTTTTATGAGAAGATGACAGATAAATGCATCATTCCTTGGTTTATTGCTTGGTAAATTTACAACAGACTGAAGAAAAGAAATATCCAAGGTGACATTGCTTAACTAGGTTACATTACTTTAGTTCTAGGATAATAAAAGTTGATAGAGTACCGTAAAAATACAAACAGAATGACAGCAGAAAGTTGTTCTCAAACCCATTCCTTTTCATGTGAATGAATGGAAACAATTGCAATAATATATATCTGCAGAATATAAAAAATAAGTTGAAGCAGTGTGTATGAGTGACATTTTATTTCACTTTTAAATACTAGAATGATTTCAAGACTTTCTGGAGGTTCTAAAGAAAATCATATTCCAAGCCAAAAATCATTTGTTTCTGACAACACATGGCAAGTATTTTAGCCATCTCATGTTTTGAAAAAGGAAGAACATTTTCATAACCTCAAGTCTACTCATGGTTATAAATAGGAAACCAGACATGGAATTAAGAGTGTCTGGAATGTATTAAATATTATGTGGTTATGAAATCTCTCTCTTTAATGATTATTAAAAAGGGGATAAACAACCAAGTTTTTGGAATGATTTTGGTTCATTGTGCCTGAAAGTAAGGACAAGACTGAAGGACCTTTGGTTACTAGCTCAATGACAAGAGTTTACTGAAAATAGAAAATTTATTTTCCTGAGATTCAGCCACTATTTTTTTTTCTTTTTTTTTTTTTGCGGAACTGGGTATGGAACTCAGGACTTTGCACTTGCCAGGCAAGTGCCTATTCTACTGAGCTATCTCCCAGGCCCCAGCCACTAATACTATTCTGATTCACAAGTTCATTTTATGATATTTAGATGAAAACAGGTAATATTCATGTATTACTGACAAGTAAAAACATTGAATGATGTAGGACATGTCTTTAATTACTGTACTGCACATTACATTTGTTATCTGTTTAGAATAATAATAAATACTGTGTTAGATGCCAAACTGTAAGTAATTGTTCTCTTGGTTACTTGAATGAGATGCAAATCTTTAACAATATGTGGGTTCTGTAACTTTTTACAGTGCTAATCATTACCATGTTGTTTTAATTTTTAAGAGATGACTGGAAACCATACAAGCTTAGAAGACTGTACTTTATTTGGGTGTGTAGGGACATCCACTCCTTCTGCTGGTTTGCAGACTTACTCTGCACGTTGTATAATAAGGTAATATTAAGTTTTTTATTTGTTTTGCAGCTTTTATTTACAAATTATTTTATTTTACATTATAAAAGCAATAAATTCTTCCTATAGAATAAAAATTCTCTTTAATCTAAGAAAGCGAGATTAAATTGTTTAATAATTAGGTTTACATCTTCCTAGATACAGATATTTGTATGTATGTATTTCTCTAACATTTAAAAATACAAATACTTTTAGTATTACCAATAAACTACTGTTAGACTTCTTGCAATACTATAACAACTTAAAAATCCAGAATTCTTTTTTATTGAGATAAAAGTAGATATTCTTTACTTAGCTACGACATCTAAGTTCATTATCTTTGTTGCATTCAGATTGACAAATAATGAACTTATGTATCTTAGCCACAAATGCCTCAAACAATTTGGACAAGTAAAATCTCTCTTAATATGAGTACCCAGTCATGTAACAAATCATCTCATGAAAGCCCTATCATACTGATTAATTTTAGTTCAAATTGTGTTTCATAATTCTATTACTGTCTTGAAATTTTTTGTATTAGCAAACATAGAGCTCCCTCATTGTTTTTATTGTAATAGAAAGCTGCATGATACAGATGTATCAAGTTCATTTAAGAATTCCATCGTGTTGGGTATTTACTTACTGAAAACAAGCTGAATGGACCTTTATATGTTTCCTGCTCAATAATTCATTCATTAAGCCAGTCATGCTGTCACCCAACAAGTATGTATTAATTCCTTACTATGAAACAGGAACTGTTTCACAAGCTGGAGATATATCATGTTGTGAAATAAAATCAAATTTCTGACCTATGTATTATAAGAAGGAGAGAGAGACAACAAATCAGTACATATACAAGATGTCAAATTCTAACATTCTAAGTAGGGCAAAACAGAGAAGGCAATAGGGGCAGGACAACACTTCCGCTAGAAGGCACATTCATTTTTAGGTTCAGGAATGCCCAACAAACAAAATACTTTTAAAACAGAAACTTGTGAGCTCGAGCAGAGTAGTCAAATAACATGAAGGACAAATTCAAGACAGAGGAATCCAGCTTCACAATACAGAGCCCTGGAACGGTAATGAGTCTGACATATTGGAGGAAGAGGAAGGAGGTTTGCACACATGAAGCAGAATGAACAAGAACAAGAACAGGGGCCAGGGAGATAGCTCGGTGGTCTAAGTACCTGCGTGGCAAGCTGAAAGACCTGGCTTCAATCCCCAGTACTGTGTATCACACGCTCTTCTGGTCTGGGTAATCCTAGTGCCGGGGAGGCTGAGACAGGAGGGTCACTTTAAGTCCAAGTTGTGTAGTGAGAGCCTGTACCAAATAAATAAATAGATAAATAAATAAATGAAAGGTTTTTTTTAAGAATAAAAATAGCAGGAAAGTTAATTAGGGAGGTGATGTATGTGTGTTTTTCTAAGGAAAGGTAGATTACAGAAGGCATTTGGATTTCATTTGAAAAAAAAAAGGATGGTTTGGGAGGTGTGTACATAGAATTGTTCAAAGCAGGAAATTTAATGTTTTTACACTAGTGTCTATAGAAGGATTATTCACAATAATTAAGAGACGAAAAAAATCTAATTGTCTCTCAGTTGATGAATGGGTAAACACAATATGGTAAATGCACATTACAGAACATAATCAGGCTGAAGAAGGAAAACTCAGCACGTTTTGCAATATGGAGGAAGGTATTACGATTCCGTATTTATGTAGCATCCAGGAAGATTTAATTCAGTGGCAATGTGGAAGGGTGGTTTCCAGAGTACAGGGAAGAAACAAATGGAAAGTTGTTCTACACTTTTTCCAAAATGATAAGTTTTGCAGTGTATATCTTGCCTTACACATTTTTAAATAAGGAAAATCACTGTTGAATGAGTAGAAAGCAGGAATAAGAAAAAATGTATAGTATTTATTTTTATTTTTGTTCTGTTTTAGTTTCCCTAGCATTCTTAATTGCTGTTACTTATTTTTCAGTCTTAGCTGGAAGTTCACACTGTCTGCAAATGCAGTGGCTATGTCTGCTTTTTTCTCCATTCCTGTCACATTCAGTATTGTTTTCCATTCTTTGAACTTCAGTCTATGAGTTTCTTTTTAAGGTAAATGTGTTTCTTGTGTGCAGCATGTTGTTGGCTCTTGTTTCTTGATCCATTTTGCCACTCTATTTCTTTTGACTTGGGAATTGAGATCATTTACCAGTTACAACCTGTACTTGTACTGCCAAATTATTTTCCTGCTGTTTATTGTCTTTTCCCTTAATCGTTTGCCTTAACTGGTGGCTTTTCTAAATTGATGTTGGAATTGTAGCCTTCATTATCTCTTTTGGAAATATCCTTCAGAACACTTTGTCGAGTTGGTTTGGTGGTCATGAATTTCTTTAGTTTTGTTTTGGTTTTTTTGGAGTGGAAATACCTTATTTCTCCATTGATTTAAAACATATATATATATATATTTTTTTTTTTTTTTTTTTTTTTTAGGCCAGCCTGACAGCTCAGCAGACTAAAGCACCTGCTTAAGCAGAGTGCAGCAGCCGGGGTTCGATGCCCAGCGTGCTGTGCCGCCCTGCCCCAGGGGCATGCTGAGACCATGTTTGAGACTGGGCGTGGTGGGGCGAGCCTGTAATCCCAGCACTTGAAAGGCTGAAAACAGGAGAATCACTAGGAGTCCGATCTATGTAGTGAGACCCTGTATACCCTATATACCTTGTCCTAAATACAGGGGAACAATGATTAATAATAATAATAATAATAAAAATAAATTCGGTGTATATGAATCTAGTCTAGAGATTGCTTCCTTTCAGGGCCTGGAACACTTCACTCCAAGCTCCCCTTGATGAAAGAGTTTTGTTGAAAAGCCTATGTTATTCTGATGGGCTTTTCTTGATATGTGATTTGCTTCTTTTCTTGAATAGCTTTTTGTATTCTGTTTATGTGTTAAATTTCTCTAATCTTGATGTAGATGTGTTGATGCTTTGGTGTGGATTTATTTTGGTTATGGATAATTGGAGTTCTATATACCTCACTTATTTGTACATTAAATTCTTTTACCATGATTAGTATATTTTCTGCCATTATTTGGGTGATTTTTATGGCATTATGCTATCTACAGCTTTCTTGATCCCTTGCTATTTTTATGATACATTTTTTTTCTTGGTTTCTACCTGCAATCCTATTAGATTTGATATTCTGTTCTTGCCTTCATTTAATTGATCGTATGTACTTTCAATGGAAGTTTTAATCTCTTGGATGTATTGAATCTGTTTCATGGATTTTTTTTTTCTATGTTGGGCATTCATGGTTTCTCTTGTTATCTGAAGTTCCTTCGTTTTTTAATCTGTGTCTCCTCAAGGCTCATTGAGCAAGTCCTTTATTTTGACCTACATTTTTTTCTGGAGTGTTTTCCCTACAGCCTCATTCATCTTTTTGTTCCTTTGTATTTTGTTTCGGGTGTTGTTGCTTTGCTTCTGCTGCTGTCCTTTCAGAAAATGCAGGTGGGTTTCTTCTGATTTCCTCTGCCTCACTCTTTGCTGGACTTGTCCTGGGCAGGTGGATGTCCATGCTCCATTTTGCTTCTGTGTATTGTCACTTTATGTTTTTTAATTTTAATTTTATTTTGATTTCTTTGAAGTTGCTTGTAAATTTCTTATGGTAGACAGATGTATCACTAATATTGAGGCTTTCCTAGGAAATATCTGTTCTCCAGAAATGTCTTCTAGTTGTTGTTAGTTCTGGTCTTTGTGTGTATCCCACGATCCTATCTTCCCAGTTTATTAAAGATCAGATATTTGTCTCTGGAACAGCACTCAGTCCTTTGGGTGCTGGGCTATGGCTGTGGTTATGACCCAGACAATCAATGCTGGTATGGAAGGGAGAGCAAGTGGTTATAAGGGAGATGGCATCCTGGCTAACGTAGTACAGTTAGCAACAGTAATAGCACCAAGCCTGGCCTAGAAATGGACAAACTGGGGGAACTATTAATTGTGTACTTTCAATCACAGGAGCAAGATCTACAGTTATATAACAAATCCAACATAAATCAGATCTGGTGTCCATCAGTTTAGCTAAATTAGAAGAGAATTTCCTGTTCTTAGAGTAATTTTACCTTGGGGGTATTTAGGAGCTATAGGGGACAAGACAGAGAGATACATGAAGACAAATATAGCAGAAGTAGGGCTGGAGGACAAAGGATGATCAAGCTTTAGCAAACTGGAGAAGAGAAGCGAAAAGATGGAAGAGAAAGCAAAAGATTATCACAGTGAACCAGAAAGACTATAGACAATACTCACTCACACAAACACGTAAAATAGTGAGAGATAGTTGAGAAAAGAACAGTATAATAATACGTTCCTCTGGAGTCCATCATTCTGTGGTAGTGTCCCAGCCCCAAACTGCTGAGTAACCCTGCCAGGTCGGTAGTAGGATTAGTACTGGGTACAAGGCTGATCTTGGACACTGGATTTGGGGACTGAGGCTGGTCTTCAGCCAGCAGCTTTTGTTATGTCTTTGGGTGGCCTTCCCATGTCTCCTTACCCTGATTGTCTACCTGGTTCTCCCATCTGCTGTGACATCCTCAGCCAGGGACAGCGTGGGACCACTCCTAGTCCTGTGTTTACAGGGCTGCTCCTTAACTTTGTGTGGTCTCTTCTGTTTTCCCCACAGGTGTGTCTCTACCCAGTCAGGCCACTGTTGTCCAAGGCTGCTCAGCTTCCCTTCAGTTTTACCTCCAGCGGTTTATGTGCTGACCTCCCAAGGTTGTTTGAGTCCCACACAGCTGGGTCCCTCTCCCAAGCTAAATGGTCTCAGGATAGAAAGAGTCATGCACCCCCTCCTATGCAGGTCCTAGTGTTATTGTCCCTAAGGGTTCCAGTTAGCTGCTAGGGTGCATGACAGGGAGAAAGAAAACAGAAACACAGACACACACACAGACACACACAGACACACAGACACACACAGACACACACACACACACACACACACACACACACACACACACACACACACTGGGAGCCTGTCAGGAAGGCAGCAGTTTCCACTTGCCTCTGTGTGTGCCCGTGATGTTTTCTGCCAGGTTGCCAGGTCCTCTGTGTGGAGGGAGAAAGGCAATGAGGCAAGGAGCCTTGCACCGCAGATCTGTCCTGTGTGCCGTGGGCTGGTCGTACTTTTGCAGCCAGAGTTCTCGCTTGGCAGGCAGATGGCTGTGTCACTCAGGGCCCTGGGGGCTTGCCTGCTGTTTTATAAAGTCCTATGCCTATGCTTTGTCTGATGTACAAGTTTCAGACTGGCTGTGGCACCAGGATAGATGTCCCTCCGTTTCTTCTAATTACTGTGTTTTCATCTCCGAGCACCTCCATGTGGCTCCCCGTTTCTTCAGCCATGTTGACTTTCCTTCTACCTCTCTCCTTTTGTCTTTTTTTGAGAAACTTATGTTCCTGATGAGTAAACTGCTCCTGAATTGAATTTTAGAGACCTTTAGGAAATAAAATGTGCAACATTTAGAAAGGATTTGGTGAATATTAGTATGATAACTTCTGTATCTGTAAAGATAGAAATGTATTTTTTCTATCACCATCATTATGCCTAATTTTTGTAAGTAAGGTAGGACATGTCATTAAAGTTAATATGCATCCTCAGTCTGTCAGTCTGTCTGTCATCTATCTATCTATCTATCTATCTATCTATCTATCTATCTATCTCTCTATCTATCTATGTAAATATATGCATATATTCTATTGGCTTTAAATGATTGCCATGAATCAAATTACATGTTACATTGTATAATCACATATGTTAGACTAGAATAAGATCTGAATACACAGAAAGAATTTAATAAGTTTATCCATTTTTATGTCTTCTCAGTTTTGGCAAGAGAATAGACCTGACTATGTCAATATCCAGCTGTACCTGAGTCAAACAGATGGGATCCAGGTATGTATTGGCTGTTGCTGGTCATTAGACAGGCCTCGTGATGATAGATGACTTAATGTAGGAGCTGTGCTGAAAGAAAAGTCCTGCAGGTGGTTTGAGCAAGCGTTTCCTCTGTGAGAGCCTCCTTTGGAATCCATCCAGAAATGCCACGGCTTGTCCTTGAAGTCAACCTTATTTTGCCTTTAAGCTTACCTCCTCCGACCATCCAAGAGTAGACCTTTAGGAAACCTCCCCACTCTGCAGTGTTGCCTCAAGCTTATTATCTCGGGGGCTGCGGCTAGAAAGCCACAATGTTGTGACTGGAGAGCGAAGATGAGTCATGCCATTGTAGTAATTATACAATTAAGTATCATTAATTCCCAGAAAAATTAAGTAAGATACGTCATGTCTTATTTGTTTTACTGTGGCTGGACACTGCTGCAAATTTCATATACACTGTCTTATGTAATTTGGACCCTTCTATCGGGCAATCTGAACAATTACTTTGAAGACAACAGTATGCGATATAACAACCATTGTTGAATTCCTTTCATCTTGTACTTTGAAATTCTCTTTTGTTTCTAATTCTTAAAATTTTTATTCATTTTAAAATAAAAAGCAAATAAATCGTACCATTTTTGCTATTGCTATCATTGTAATTAAGTTACACAGTAAAATTATATTTGTTACTCAGTTTATCTGCCTACAACTCACTTTCTCCATTCCCTACATAACATTTGGGTTTTCATGGTGGATCCAGATCTGATGCCCTATTAACTGCAAGCCCTGGGTCATTACCGATCATTTGTTGATCGAGTCAAACAGATTTGGGACTCCGCTGTCTCAGCCTGTCTTCTTTAGGATTGCTTCTCCAAATTTATGATGACAGTTTGTGGCAATTTACTCATATGTAATAAGTCAAATACGACAATTTGTGGGGAAAGATACTGCAGTAACATTTATGTGCTGAGCTTTGTGAGGGTGAGCAAGCCGGTGAATAGCATTCCCGTGCATCACACGGTTCTGTTTTGTTTCTTTATTGAAGCAGCTAATGAAAGCCGAGGAAATCAGCCAATTGTAAAAAGTGGCATTCAGAGAGATAGTGGATGTTAAAGGAAAAGAGGGAAGTGATCCTTCAGAATCATGTTACTTAATAAGTTTCCGCTTGGTGCATCCTTTCAATCAGCAATTCGATAGGAAGACTTAGCACCTGCAGAACTGATATGAAAGACATAGTTGTGTATCTAAAATCTGAGCCATACAAAGCATTGCATTTCCATTTTGGCAGAGGATAATTGGAGAAAAATATCAAGCATTAAATTCAAGACTGTTTATTGGACGTCCTCGGTGGAGACTTCTGTTTGACGAAATAGCAAAATGTAACAGAGGGTAAGTACTATAGCTGAAAAATATTTGATGTGAGTAAGGATGCAACTAAAATATTACAAAACCACACAATGCTTAAAGATGCTGTTTATATAAAGAGACATGCTGTATAAGTAAGATAAACTTATAAATTACAGTCATTTAAATACTCTCAAGGAGAAAGCAAGGTAGATATCATCATTATATACATATATACTGTCTAATAATTAAAATTGGCCTTAGAAATACTAATTTTTATTAATGAAACTTTTTTATTTAATTAATTAATTTTTAAAGTATTTTGTACAGGGCCTACAGGGTCTCAGTACACAGATTGGACTCATAGCGATCCTCCTGCTTTTAGCTTCCCAAGCACTGGGATTACAGGCCCATGTCACCACGCCCAGTCTCAATCACGGGGACAGGGCTGGCATGGTATGTGGTGCTGGGGATCAAACCCTGGTCCCTACATCTGCCTAAGCAGGCACTTTAGTCTGCTGAGCTATCTGGCTGGCCTAAGTGTGACTTTTAAATTTAGATAGACTCTTAGAAATAGGTATTTATTTCCACAGCATATATTAGAAAATTACAGAAAAGTTTTTAAAAAATCATATTTGCAAAAAAGCAACCTTACCAATCCATATAACAGTGTATATACATTTACAAAATAAATATTCATGCTTTATTACCACAATGTGTTAAAAATCATTTTCATTGTAATATGGACTCACTGAAGCAGGAGTATTTCCAAACATAATTTTTCTTTCTTGGAAACTATATGAAGAGTATCAGCTTTATAGGGGGCTGATGAGCTAGCTCAGCGGTCTGAAGCACCTGCTTAGGCAAGCTCAGACAGATGCAGAGGATGGTGATTTGATCCCCAGCACCACATGCTGAACCATCCCTGCCCTAAAGGTGGGCTGAGCCGGCCAGTATAGAGGGGCCAGGGAGCTAGCTCAGTGGCGTAAGCACCTGCCTGGCAAATGTAAGGTGCCAAAGTACCACCAAAAAACCCCAAAACAAACAAAAAGTTGTTTTTAGAAAAGAATCTTAGCTTTATGGACTACATATTTTTGATGTGAATACATTACTGTTTAAGCCAAAACATTTATTTTATGACACACACTGGTCATTCCCAAGAAAATTATCATAGTTCAGAGCAGTTATACAAAAGAATTATAAATAAATTTTATAAATATATGCCCATCACAGCCTTTTAAGTTTACAAGGAAATAGATTCATTGTAAGTTTAAATGGTTGCCAAAGATTTCTAACATATTGCGAATACTGACAGTTTACTCTCAAAGTAATTCCTTTATCATAGTACCTGGAATATTGTGTTATATTGTGATGTCATAACATCATTTATTGTAAAGATGCACAAACAGATTTCTCAGCACTTGGAAATTGCAGATCATAGTTTTTATTTTGAACTTATATTTCTTTTGTATTAGCATAGAGAATTCTATCAATATTCAATGTATTTTCACATTTGAACGGATTATATTTTTATTGCTAAATCTGTCATCCTGGGACATGAATGCAGATATATGATTTCATCTGTGAACATGAGCCCCTGGGATTGTATTTCTTCTGATCTGACTTACCATTATAATTAGTGTGTAGTTATTTGATGACATAAATGTATTCTGAGAAGTGTATAATTAGGCAGTATTGTTGTGTAAATGCTGTAGAACAAACTTACCCAAAGCCATAACCTGCGAAGCTGTAGGTGTCTACATGCATGTGTGTATCTAATTATACAGAAGGATAGAATAGCTTATTGTTTCTAGAACTGCAATAAACAACACTAGATTAAATCTATGTGTAGAGACAAGGATGCAGTTAACATTCACAGAGAAAGATGAAGTTGCTGCTGGTGTAATGCAGCACACTGTTGCAGGAAACTTCTTTTCACAAATAAACATTTTAAAGTAACAATAAAAAGCCTATTTTAAGCAAATCCTTAATTTGCCAGTGTAGCTCAGATCCTTGCTGCACACTGTGTCCCGAGCAAAGTGGTGTGTGCAGACCTCCTATGCAGCTGGCAGTGAGTGCACCGATTTAGTCACACGGGACAGGCGTCCTACGTGCGGTTCCTCGCTCTGTGAAGGGCCAGTGTGCAGCATATGGGTGTAGGTGAGGAATTCACAATTTTGCTAAACAGTAAAGGATGTGAGATTGCAAGAGCACATGCTTGCACATTGGATGGAGAGTTTTGAAGAATCTAAATTCTTAGGGTAAAAAGAAACCCCCTCCTACTGGAGGGACCACTGTCTCAAGACGGCTCTGCCTACCTCCACCATCAAGGATTTTTTTTAAAGTTCTGACGTTCAAGATGCAAAATTTAAAATGAATTAAAGTTACATACACATTAGAGTGCATCTATGTTTGAAACCACTTCTATAGCATTCTTTTCCCATGATGAACTTTCGAAAAGTAGTGTTTATGAAGCAGCGATGTTTTGTAACATTCAGGGACCAGTGATGGCGAACCCTCGAGAGCAAATTCTATCAGCCCAGTTTTGATTATACTCTTTTCCCATCTTTGCCCAATGTCATCTATTCAATTTTGAAACCAAAGCCTCAGAGAGCAGAGAATCATTTGCAGGAAATTGGATCAGGAATATTGTTTCTTTTTTTCTTTTTTCTTTTTTTTTGGGGGGGTCACCTTGTAGGAATTCTCAATTGTCACACTGATTGTGTTTTAGAATGACTTTGCATTCTTACTGAGTATCTTGCTTTTTCTGGTTAAGAAGAACAAATGTGCACCATTTATTGTTGAAATTTTGCACAGTTCTTTACTTTGTGTGCTTGTTGTAGGTAAGCACCTGAAATCCATTAATTTTGAAGGGTTTTTCTATAAAATACTTAGGAAAGAATGGGTCAGTATCTTAAGGGTCCATTAATTGGACAATAGGCATGATATAAGTGAAAATTTGTATAATATTTTGTTTAACTTCATACACATAAATTGCTGAAAGGCCATATTGAGGTAAACATGGAGATGAAAACCATATACATTAAGCTTCTGAATACTTTATGCTGGGTATCAATTCTTAATTTCCAGACAGCACCTATCAAATCTGTAGGCATTTGCCTAGAATAAAAATTGAAATTAAATTAAATGTTGCTGGGTCCAAAAAAATTGGTATTGTTACATATTCTTAAAGAAACTTGTATATATGTAAATATGTATTTCTGTATGTAAATATTTGTATGTTATATATGTGTATGTGTATTTTAAAATATATAAGCCTTGTACCATTTAACAAAAAAAAATCAAATGAATCTACATTTTACATTTTTTTGACTTAAGTGATACATTCATATATTGCTCATGGAGCATTTCCATGTAATTTTAGCTCACAATAGTCTATAATATGAATAATCTGACCATTACTACCCTAATTGCAGGTATTTAGGTTACCTTTTTTTTTTAGTGTTACAGACACTGCTAAACTATGTCTAGGGGTGGGGAGATAGCTCAGTGGCTTAAGCATGTGCCTGGCAAGCACAATTGTAAGGACCTGGGTTCAATCCCCAGTACCATATGCTGTGACACTGTGCCAGCCACCAAAACCAGGCATGCTGGTGCATGCCTGTAATCCCAGCACTGGGGAGGTTGAGACAAGAGGATCCCTATGAGTCTGAGCTGCATAGCGAGACCCTGTACCAAATAAATAATAATTTTTAAAACTTAAAAAACTATATCTTTGTATCAATTTTCTCCTGTAAGAGTATCACAGTGTATTAGAATTTTAAAATGTTATTATTGGTTCAAAATATATGTACATTTAGATACTACCCTACCTAAACCAAAAAGATAAGTTAATTTACTTTCCATATGTCTCTGAGGGTGATTCCTTCCTTTCATGTTGAACTCAGAAAATGAGTCACTTGACGCCAATCCATGCTAAGGGGACATGGAAGAACTTAGAACTCTGACTTAATCATCATTTTACAATGAAAGTGGAGCCCCCAAAGATAATGATTTATGGAAAGCTCTGGTCATTAAATCAGAATGCAGACCTGAATCCAGATCTTCTGAGTGGAGGTGCAAATGTGAGTTTTATAGCTGGGCATACTTAGTTTATTCCAAATAGAAAGACTGTTAATCTTATTTTTCATGCCTCTTGGAAGATGGGGTTGGCAGAGAGACGTTATGAGAAACTCATACTTACTATATATGTTGCTGTAGAATGTAACCCATAGTACAATAAAAATACTAACAACTAATTTTTTAAAAGTATATTTTATAATTTTGTAAACCAATTCCTATTTAATAAGCTGCCAGAAAATTGTTTATATCTAACCCAAATTTAGTTCTCTGTTGTTTGTAATTATGCTGTGCATCGTGTTTTAAGTGGTTGGATGTGTACATTAGGCAAAGGTAGACAGGGTTAGCTTTGGTAAAATGTTCGAGGTTGCTTTATTTTGTGCCTCATAGTGTTTTCAAATTAATTCAGGTCAAACAAATCTGGGTTCAACTTTTACTTTTGCTCCTGTGCTTGGGAAAAGTTACTCAAACTTTAGAAGTTCTCATTGTATTAAATTTCAAATTTTCAAGTCTATATGGAAGAGCAAGTATTGACAAAATAGGAAGTTATATGCAAATACATTACACATTTATAAAACTAATTTTCTCCATTTATTATTCAACGACATTCTCTGCTTATTACTTTAATCTCTCGACCAATCTCATTGAAGTTTTGTAGATAAATTTGTAGGTAATTATTGAGCTGTAGCTATCTAGCTCAAAGATGGTGCAAATGGATTGTAAAGATTAGATATTAAAGAAGTTGTAGGATTTATTTATGTTAGTGACATTTAGGAACTCATTGAATCACAGAAAAAAGGATAGAAACAATTGAAACGAAAATGTAAGAAACTCAGGGCCGGCAAGATAGCTCAGTGGACTAAACTTCACTAGTCCTGCCCCAGGCACAGTGAGCCAGCCGCCAAGACCAGGCATGGTGGCGCACAACTATAATCCTAGTGCTGGGGAGGCTGAAACCAGAGGATCACTATGAGCCCGAGCTGCACAGTGAGACTCTGTACCAAACGAGAGAGAGAGAGAGAGGGAGAGAGAGAGGGAGAGAGAGAGAGAGAGAGAGAGAGAGAGAGAGAGACTCATCACAAATATTTTCAAAAGAAATATGTATGTAAAACAAAATTTTAGAAAATCTGAAAACTCTAAAAAAATAAATTTAAAAAACAATCATTGCCCTGTCAAAGAAAATATGTATACTTTATTGCTATTATGTAGAGGAACAATATACACAAAGAAACAAAGAAAATTGCTCTTTTTGTCCTTTTTTAATGAGCAGAATATATTTATTGAGAGAAAGAAAGGTCTTGTCTGAAAGAGGGACAGGAGGGGGGCCTGAGCAGGTTGTCCCCTTTTTTGTTGTTGTTGTTTTTTGCATTTTAATGACAACCACACCATGGTTTTAACCTAGGTTAGAACTGTTATTAAATACAAAGTTGTTAATTTTCATACTTATTTGATTCCTTTTCCTAACTTTGAATTAAATTAACACTTTAATTTGTTTCTGAAGGGTGCAATACAGATAATCGGCTTCATTTTTCTCATTTTTTATAAAGTAGTTGCTACTATGAGTTACCTCTAAGCACAGCTTTTTTTTATTTTAGGTACAAACCTCTGGTTTTTTTTTTTAAAGTCAACAGAAAATGGAAATATACTTTTTAAAGTTTCTAATACTAGGAGAAGATATCATACAATGTCTTTTAAATAAATTGTAAGTCAAAGATACAGT